GCATTTACAGGACATGACTTGGAAGGCGTGGAGCTACTCAAAGTAGAACGACTTCTTGACTTGGAGTATGCAGACGACATTGCCCTCAACTGTGACAGTTCGCAGCTGTGCCAAGCCGCGCTGGACAGATCAACACTGCCTGTCAGCCGCTTCGGGCTTTGCTTGAACCATCGAAATGCAAAGCATTCCTCCTCCTGCGCTGACTCTTGGTGGGGATCAGCTAGAAGTCGTTCAAAAATTCAACCACCTGGGAAGTTGTATCAGCACACTTGGGATCGAAGACAAGATCACGAACCGTACAGCAAAAGCTCGAAGTGCTTTTGCTAACCTTCGCCACCTATGGCGCCGGCGCGATATCACTCTCGCCCTGAAGGGTAGAGTGTACAATGCAGCAGTACGTGCGACCCTACTGTACGCTTATGAAACCTGGCCCCTAAGATCAGCGGACATGAAGAGACTAGTTACATTCGACCATTGGTGCCTTCGCAATTTAGCTCACATCTGGTGGGAACACCGCGTGAGTAACGAGCGTGTTCGACGCCTTGTTTACGGCACAGAAAAAGGATCTGAAGCGCTCAGCACCGTCATTTCACGCACCACGCTCTGATGGCTGGGCCATGTGTTGCGCATGCTAGCCCACCGACTTCCACGACGTGCGTTGTTCGCGCGCCGGGGGTGTGGATGGAAGAAGAGGAGGGGTGACCAAACGATGACTTGGTCCAGAGGAATGAAGGCCCTCACTTCGGAGCTGGCCTCGGTTGGAGCGTCACGGCTCCCTGGTTGGGGTCCAAAAGACGGTGAACACGTTTGGCTGGATACACTTGCTGACATGGCAAAGAGCCGACCTCAGTGGCGTTCCTGCTGTGAGTTTCTTTGTCTCTCCCCTTCCCTTTTAGCCTCCCCTCCAACTACGATCACATTTCGTAGCGTAAAACAACAATTTTTCTTTTTTGCCTAGTAACCGGCTGCTGGCTTACCGGAACAATGCCTATCTGTTGCTGGTAGCGCAGCTGGCATGCAACTGTTGTATTTATTTTCCTTTTCCTTTATGTGTTGGGGCACAGTAGCTGAGGTGCTTCCCACTTCTAACTGACGTGTATAATGATGATGATCAGCTTGATCGAAGCACGGAACCAGGTTGCAATGGGCAATGAGTTGCAATGTGTCCGTAACTCCATGAAACGACGTCTGATGAGGAGCCTTTGGATCGACCGGGGACGTTGGTGGATAATAAAGGCCCGTGAGATGGAGAAAATTAGTGCTATTGGAACAGCCGAGTACTATCCCAACTCATCTGGAACACGGGTCCGAGAAAGTCACCAGTTACTGTGATGACAGCTGGGAAAGATGGACGTTTGATCCATTCTCAGCCTCGTGTATTAATCAATTCGGCGGAACATTTTGAAGAGTAGTTCAACAAGCCTGCTGTGACACCGCCACCTGTCGAATCGCCTGAGCCGATGTGAGTAGTTGATGTTACACCTTCCAGTTTGGAAGAGATTCAATGTAGGCTTTCCGTGTTGAAACGAAACAAGGCTCATGGACCAGAAGACCTTCCTCCAGCTTTGCTGAAAGATGGTGGTGACCCTTTGTTGACCAGATTCGCTTTTCTGTTTAACAGGATTTGGAACATTGAAGATGTGCCTCCAGACTTGTGTCTGTCAACTGTCGTGACCACCTTCAAGGTCAGCGTGAAAACTATCGAGGCAGTAGCCGTGGTTCTGTCACCTGCAAACTTATCACGGGTATCCTTTTCTGATGAGTTACTAGTCTCTGTGAGAACCGAATCAGTGAAAGCCAGCCTGACATCCACCCTGGTTGTGGTTACATCGACCACAATCACCCTTCGACAAGTGTTCGAGCAGAGGCACACATACAGACGACCGACTATGGTGGTTTTCTTTGACATGAAAGCCGCGTTCGACTCTGTCGACCACTGGTGGTAATGCCAATCCATAAAGGGAGTGCTTGGAAAGCTTCATTCCATGGTGAAACCTGTATACGGTGACTCACAAGGCTGGCTGAGGATCCCCTAAAAGCTTTCTTCGGAATTCCTCATGGCAAGTGGGGTTTCGTCAGGATTGTATCATATATCCTGTTCTCTTCAGCACTGTGACCGCAATAATCATGAATGGCTCCGTTCTTTCAGAGAGTTCCGGAGCGGAAGTTCCGCCAATTGAGCGAATGATCAAGCTGGAGTATGCGGACGACACAGCTATTCTTGAGCTTGATGCAGTGACTGTGCAAACACTACTAGAGAGACTGATCCGTTGAGCTGAACCATTGGGCATGAGCTTTGCACTTACAAATTATTGTTTCGGGACTGGACCGAAACGCTAGCGGCTTAAGCTACCAGCGAACAGTCTATAAAAGTGGTAGATCAGTTCCTTTACATTGGTAGCTGTGTAACCTCTGCTGATCGAATCACTGAAGAAGTTACTCCGCGGATCAGCAGGACCTATGTAGCTTTCCAGAGACTCAACTATCTATGTAGGCCGCGGGATATCAGCCTGTCAGTGGAAAGTAGAGCGTATAACGCTGCAATAAGGCCAGTATTACTGTGTCGACCAGAGACAAGGCCAGTTCGTGGTGGAGACATCAAACGATTGGCCGTGTCTGATCAGGTGCGCATGCGGGATTATTGCTCACGTCAGGTGGGAAGACCGAGTGAGCGACGTTGAGGTCCGCCAGTGCTTTGTAAAGAAGCCCTCTGGGACCACTCTCATCATCATCATCAATACACGTTAACTAAAGGTGAGAAACACACCTCAGCTAATGTGCCGCGAAACAAAAAAGTAAGAGACTAAAAAACTGCACTACAAAAAGATTCAAAGCAAGTAATATGATGTTATATATTAGAGTATTCGTTTTGTATGAGATCAGGATTGGAGGGGGAATCTAAAGGGGAGGGAGATGGACCAAGAAACTCACAACACAAACACCATTGGGGCCGGCTCCTAGCCATATCAGCAAGTGTGTCCAACCAAACGTGTTCATCGTCCTTAGGACCCCAACCAGGCAGTCGGGATGCATCAACCGACGCCAACTTCGAAGTGAGGGTTTTCATTTCTCTCCACCAAGTCATCGCTTGACATCCCCTCCTTTTCTTCCATCCGCACCCCGGGCGCACAAAAAGCACACGATGCGGGAGTCTGTGTACTGACATGTGCAACACGTGGCCCAACCATGGAAGTCTGGTGTGTGATATACTGGTGCTCTCGATCTCCCTTCAGCAAACACGCGACGCTGAACACGCTCATTGCTCGCGCGGTGATCCTACCAGACATGAGTTAAGCTGCAGAGCCAGCCATGATCGAACGTGGCTAGCCTCTTTGTGTCTGTCGACCTGATGGGCGAAGTTTCACAACCGTATAGGAGGGTTAAACCGACGGCTCCATTATAAACTCTGTCCTTCAGGGCAAGAGTGATGTCGCGTCTGCGCCAAAGGTGGCGGAGATTGACAAAAGCATCTCGAGCTTTTTCTATACGGTTCATAATCTCAGCTTCGATCCCAGGGGCGCTAATATAGTTGCCCAGGTACTTGAGTTCCTGAACAACTTCAAGCTGATCACCACCAAGGGTCAGCACAGAGGTAAGCCTTTGCCAATTTTGGAGAACTTTGTATTTCGATGGACATATAGTCCAAAACGATTAACATCCAGTGCTACTTGGAACCTTTGGGAGCTGTCACAGATTAGGGCAATATCGTCCGCATACTCCAAGTCAAAAAGTCGCTCACCACGAAATAGCTCCACATCTTTTAGGTCGTGTCCAGCGAATGCTGTTTCCATGACTCCGTCAATAGCGTAGTTAAAGAGGAAAGGTGACAGCGGGCAATCTTGTCTCACACCGCTGATGACACTAAAGGGTGGCGAGAGTTTGCCATAAACCCTTACTTTGCCCGAATTATGCGTGTACAGCGCTTTGATAATGTTTATGTATTTATCAGGTGCCTCGCCTAAGTATTTGTTGAATCCTAACCGCTTACGCTGGCTAAAACATGTCCTCCGTATTCCGTTGACCGTCTTCCTCGACGCGCAATATACACCTTATCTGCATCAGGTTAGGCGAACCAATTAAGTGGCCAGTCAATGACTTGGTATAAAGATGTGAAGAAGTTGACTAAGAGACTCGATCAGGCTAGCGTGTACCGTCTTCGTGAATGGGGGTCTGAGATGGTTCACATCAGTGGTTGGAGGCTCCATCAAACATGGCATTCTTATATCTGGTTTCGTGCATCAAGCCGTCAAATTTTCCACCCGGATCAGTTTTGCACACCTTTTTCTTGATGCTACTTGCATTCGACTCCATTTTAGTACCGTTGTTATTGAATTTTATTCTAGTGACGTAAGTCGTGGAGTAATTGGACCCACCACACTTCAGTGTCTGGAAAATTATTGGTCAACCAAAGTAAATTGAACAAACTGGAAAGTGACATCAGTCACGTGTATTCTATATACGCGAAAGAGTGATCGAGCTCAGCGTTTGCTTAACATGTCCAGGACACTGATGGAACACGATGTCACACTACAACATGACAGCAAACTGGATCCAATGCGACATGATTGCGAAGAAAGTCACTGGAATAAGTTGGCACCAATTGGGTGGACACCCGAAGAGTAAAACTCTAGGATTAAACTTGGAACGTTGGTGTGCAGGAGGCGAGAGACAATGAGTAACAGTAACTTATCATTCAATAATGATAGGGATGCATATGGATGAAATTGTGGTTTGGAGTAGTCAATATTTGCTGTTGTCATGTGTGATCGTCCGAGGAGCACATCCAGATGCCGAGCTCATTAGTCAACAGCAACCTACCGTAGCCACAAAGTTGGATGTGTGTTTTTGAGGAGTTTCAGCTGTTGATGACATACTACTTAAATCTGCAATACGGAGTGAGTAATAATAGTATAAGAGTACTTGAAGTGAGGCAGATAGACAGAAAAATAGGCGAACATAGCCAACCGGCGGTTGGACAGCTGGAAGAAAGGATGATTTACCGTTAGATGTGCACAAAACTGATTGATCTGCCTCATCTTGCTGATCAGTGTGTTCAGGCGGATCATCACAGGGGGGAACGATAGGAGAGAAGGACTGGCACAATTCCGACACACGTAGCCACAGCGGATTGGACAAACCGGCTGGGGGCTGGTTGAATGACACGAAATCGGAAATCATCTCAGTGAATTCGAGAGAATCCATCCATTTGGAAGACTGGGACAGAACAGGGTCGGGAGGGGGGTCACAGGATGAGCCCAACAAGCAAACCTGGACGGCCAAATTGAGTGCATGTGAATACCTGTCGGTAACAGCAGGGATGAAGGAGATTATATCGCTAGACATATACTACTACTAAGTAGCATAAAAATAACATGAATTAATGAATAGCTGATGTGTTGGTATTGTTACAAGGCCACGCAACATTTTGTCCTGACTGCATAAATGCGTAGTATTTTCACGTTAGGCTGGAATAGAAAGGGAAAATGCTGTGCTCAAGTGGACTTTAGGTGATGTGGAACGACGAAAAGGCTGTAGTAATTCTGGTGGACCTTCAATGGGGATAAAGCGATGGTAGAAACATTGTCAACACTAAAAACCCGTTTACAAGAGTGGAACCGAAAAGGATAGAGGTGAGAGAATACAAGGTATCGAAAGAAGTGAAAGAAGCATATCATCTAGTAAAGTGTTTAACGCAGACAGATGCGGGTGCTATCTGGCTAGTCAAGATTGAGAGCTTACAATAAGAGTGCACGCGGTTCAATCGAGAGCCGAATAGATATTAAGGTGTGAAAGCGCCCATAACCAAAGAACTACGAGTTGCGCTCCCTCTGTGCGCATACATGCGTCCATACTGGAAGAACTTTAGGAAAAAATGAATGAACACCCCAAAAGACTGTGCATTTAAAACTGTCGGTGGTGAATTCTGCAGGCATACGTTAGTGTTATAATGAAGAGGTCTCTGAAGCTGGCCAATCATTACGTTGGTTTGTCTTTCTGGTAGGAGACGACCTCATATATGTACCTAGGACGAGTCGTATATGCTAAGATGTCCGAAGCTGTACGAAGACAGAAATACAGGCCGATTTGCAGTTGAGCATTGCAATGCTATGTAACTGTGATAATGGACAGAGTTGCTGAGAAATTTCCTCGCAGTTAGGTGTAATCCGACAGACAACATGCATCCAGAAACGAATTAGAGGACCGTTGCACTTCGTTGAGAATTATCGGGATCTCTATCGAATTTTACCGAGTTGGAACCTGCAGTGTACTACGGTCACTCGGCGCAGTGTGATGAATCTGAAAACGGCAGATATTCGCGTAATTATCTAAAATCTCCCCAATACCATATAACAACAACCATAAGTCTGTCAAGTTGACTTATACAGTCGAACCTGTCTAAGGCAACCATTCAAGGGACCAAGGAAAAATGGTCACCTTGGACAGATGCATGCATAGGGATATTACATAGGAGAAAAGATTGAGGATGTTTTTGGCTGGTCGCCATAGACAGGAATCCGCCATGGCAGGTTGGATTGTAATAGTGAAAGCCGATAGGAGGTATAACAAACGGAAGCCGTTGGTTTGAGGACCATGCATGTCCTCTACACGTCAATAACATGTATGACAGCGGAGGATGAGCAGCGTTATATTGCAGATAGCGATCATTCATGGTGGTCTACGGGCATCACCCATACCGCATCGGCTTAAGTCGCTGATTTATGTGACTGTTGCCATGGACTCGTACACCATGAGATTGTCAGTCATGGATCCGTAGAATACGAGAATTGGACGAAATTCGACATTTCAAGGTCAATGAAAAATGCGCGGTACCTACAGCAGTGTGTTTAATGCTTTTAGCTACTGTCTTGGGGAAGAATCAGATCAGACGTATGTACGTGTGCCAACTGACTGATGAAAGCCCACTTGTGTTCTCATGAAAATCACATCGTCCCATGGAAACTGATCGTATACTTGAGGTGGATTAAATGCGAAGCAGCGGCGATGCGGATTAGGAGACCACCGGGATGAAGTGATAGCCCACCAGCCTTTTACATGAATCGAGTGGAGAGATGAAGGAAACAAATGTAGAAAACTCACAAATGCGTATCCAAGCAGATACCACAGAGATATTCCAACAATCGGAAGAGATTGACATCACTGGAGAAACTTATGAGCAGTTGGTGCTCATCCCCTTTCCAGTTGTCGGATTGTAATCGTCCAAAACCTAAAACGCACCAGGATAGCGTTGCACTGTGTGAGCAAATACAAGAATTCAAGAAACTATTAGCGGCATATTTATTGTGCATAAGAAGTAGGCACTACCATGGTGGTGCAGAACATAAGAACAGACAACAGTAGTGAAACGTAGTGCGGTGGTGAAGAACATAGTTTTAACGTGCTCGGAGTAGATGACGGAGCTCTGTTCAATAATACTGATAAAAAGTAGGCTTTGAGATTCCACTCAGCCAGCGGTGTCTGTCACCAAAGAACAATGTGCAATGTAGCATGCCGCAAAACTGCATAGAATGCAGTAGGAGACGCGAGAGAGCGTTAGGTAGCAATCGAACTCAACTATCGTGAAACAAACCAGTGTCCACGGCAAAACGTCGGTAGTTAATGAGTCCGTCAAACACAAGAACGGTGGGTTGATATGACCTCGTGAAAGTGGTATGTGTACGCTATGCTCAAACGCTACATAACTATGGTTGAAGATGATCAAAGCTACACGATCAGAAGTCAGCTAGGACGCTGACAGTGGTCGATGTGGTAACGGGTTGACGAAGTTGATGAGGTTGTCGCTGCGTCAAAGCAACAAGGTGACAGAATCGGCGCATGCGTGTGACTCAGGTATCCGTCCGTTCATCCATCGTTGGATTTTCTCTAATTTCGTCAAAGATGCAAATTAATGGATGAAGTGGAAGGTCTAGGCGCTGCATGATGAGGGCATACGCAATAGGATAAGCCTAACAACAATAGATCAAAGAAGAGAGACACTGATCCATGACAAAACTGGCAGATGTGCGGAACTGAAAGATAAAGCAATAGAGATGCGAACAGAGGTGCTTCAGTAGATGGACCATAGAGTTTAGGAAGAACAAACTTCGCGGTTCGCAATTCTAACCGTATCAAAACTGTCGATACGGAATGGATGCGCATGTTCAGACGGATAGAGTTAGTCGCTCGTTTTACCTATCAAAGGATTTATACCATATGTGATTGTGCTATGTACTTGCAAAAACGGGCAAAAAAAAACCCGGACAAATCCAGTATGATGCCGAAAATGATATCTCAGAATAACCGTGTTTAACGAACATATTACTCAGTCTACAAAATTTATATAAACTCCAAAAGCGCAACACCACGCCTGGATGTTAGAGTACCATAAATCGGCATATCGAAGTGAATGTGCGCCGTGAACACCAGAAAAGTATCAACCCGATTAAACCGACCATAAAAAATTAATCAGCGAGGGGTTACCAAAAGACACGGAACCACCGTACAGTTGATTCCGGTAAGTCTAGCGAAACACATTCAATACAACGTCCGCTGCGTCACTCCATCAAGCGTTATCATCCAGCACTGCCGTGCCTTGGAATAAATCACGGCAAGTAGGCAGTGAACCGAAGTGTCTGCCAGTGTCTGATTCAGCCTACACGCACCAGGTTTGCGTGACATAACAGAACAAGCCATAGCTCCGTCACGTTCACATACCTATGCATATGGTAGCGGACATGACTGTGGATGATATAGCAAGCAAAAACGGCTAACTAACTGGACCATTGGCATGGATCGATCACTCCCGTTTGTCGGAGAAAATGTATGTTCCGTTAGTTTGCAATAGCAGCACGTCACGTAGTGCGCATTCGAGCACACCTCAGGTGGGGATCGTGACGTGAGAAATGTTCCACAGCGTGCAGAGGGCATCATTCAATTGCAAGTTGTAGCGAGCATCCGGAAAGTACAGAAACCGTGTCCGAAGAGGCAAATGCAGCAGCCATAGTTTGATGTGCATTACAGACACCACAACAATGGATTCAGCAGTACGAATGCAGGAGAATGATTCTGGACTGCTGTTGCGTACAAAAAACCCAAGAAATGAATTGCAATACGGTCTTGTACCTGGGTCACAGTGGCATGAAGTCACTAAGAAGACAGGCTGCCACACGCAACGAAAAACGAACATGACATGGCAAAGTAAAGTGACCATATTCACTGGGAATTAGGATGCCTGACCCGAATGAAGGCTCAGATTTTGATCATGACCTCGGTTGGTGCCTCCCGGTAGGAGTCCGAAAAGCATAAACCTTATTGGTAGGAGACACTTGTTGATATTGCCGGGAGTCGAACACAGCGGCGTTTGTGTTGTGAGTTTCCTTGCCCACCACCTCCTACAATTACGGCCTTAATATCGATGCATAACAGAAAAGCGCAGTATTAATTGTTTTGCCTTGTCTTTAGCATTGTCACTCAATTTCTTGTGCAGCTACAAATTGTAGTATATACCGGCACATCAAAGTTACCTCGAAATGCTGTTCAGTTGTCTCATCTACGTGATGTAGGAATACGGGATTCAGATTCTCCCTGCTGTTTCACCCACTGCTTAGGCGGTTACGTCGCACTCGCGTAAGTGCAATGTGGCCGGATTATCGTACAGTCACCTTACTTCCCTGAGCTTGATGATAAGCTACAGCTGTGAACCAATGAAACTAGACTGGTTTAGGTGAATTCATAATAACTAACAGTGTTCCAATGATTGCACTGCATAGGTTCGCCCACACAACTACAGGAAATACGCGAAAGCCCATAGAGCGGTACGGGACCACTGGGTCACCGGCTTTGCTCGAGGTGAACAACGGCAATGAGCAAGAAAGAAGAGATGCACAATAGCCTAATGCTTGCACAGTCCCGTTGAACGTCGTCCAGTCGTTTTAATCCCGTTTTTTGATAACGGCTTGCAGCAGTAGGCCAGTAAAGCTATGCTGTGTTTTGTGGAGTAATGATTCTATGCACTAATTCAATATTCGAACGGCTGAATACGTCGGCCCAGGCAAAATACGTGAAGGCCCATAGAGTGACAGGGGACAACTTGATGGCCGCCTTTCTGCTTCATTAGTTACTTTCCAAGTGCTCGAATTGGCAAGGATTTAATTCAGTGGGAATCGCAGTCCACAGTGAGATAACGCATCATAATCCATTCTTAAAACGAGTGCTTCACAACGACCCTCCAATGCTAGGCAACATATGTTTAAGAATAATAGGGTACGCGATTGGGGAATTTGATTTTTAAGTAGTCACATGGCTACACAGGTCCATGTGTAAAGTCAGAAGCACATAATGTGTCAGCTGTACGCCGTAACAGCGCCTCGCTGCCACGCGACCACCACCAGCCGCGTGCGAGGACGCCCACCTCTACGCGGATTCAAACCAGTGACCTTATGGTTGCAAACCAAACGTGCAGACCACTCGGCCACCGGCCAAAGCACATAAACTACGAGAACACAGATGGGGAGATACTCAGTCACCGCTTTCGATCAAGGTTCATGATCAAGAGAATAGTTCGCAGTGGCAGTCGCTGGTTACACAATTCGGTTGTATTACCATGACTACAATGTAGTTTGAACATCGTCTAGTTGCTTTACTCATTTCTTGCAAGCGAATTGCTGATGGTGTCAGTAATTTGCAAAAATACATTTTGTTTTGCAAAACGCCCCATTTGTTCTACAGAAGGTTCAAAATAGTTTGTAAATCGTCCAATTTAAAGTGAAAATGGTACATCTGTGACACCCAAGCGTTCTTGTTCTGGAGCATTATTATGTTCTACTGTTAACTCGCTATAATCCAGATTCCTATACTTCTATACTACTGATTATTGACGCAGTAATATTTGCTATGGGCCCAAGACACCGACAGCCGCGTGACTGTAAATGTTGTGATATCTAATGCAAGCGTTATCAGCAAACGTTGGGAATTTAGGGGGCAAATATTGAGACCATTGCAACTAGGCTCAATCAAAGCCAATACGCATCCGAAAAACTGCACGATCGCTTTATCATTTGTGAAATCGTCGTCGGAACGTATTCTACTTACTCCATATGAGGCTGGAATCCGTCATCGTATTCCTACGAGTCTGTTAGTTATGAGCAGCGGACTACGAAGGATGACAACAACCGACTTGCACGTTTACACATGAACTTATTATTCACTGGGGCACAATACATCTCACTCAATATACTAAATAGTATTCCGACGCGCAAGACCATTCGAGCATACTTTTCAAAACGGATCTCAACCAGGAAAGGATCAACATACAGTCGAATCTCCCAAGTTGACCGTTTTTCATGGATTGAACATTCACCATGTAAACCTTATGGAACCAGACCTCTGTAAGTGGACCACCTCTAAGTTGTGCTTTGACCACTTGAGCCATAGCAGTCATTACTAAACGAACCTCTATACGTTGAGCATGTGAAGGTTTACTGTGCAACCGTTTGTTCAAACAACAAGTGCGTGTAGCTGGATTTTGTAATGTACGAAATGCTTGCAACTCACAACCATTACACTTGACGTCTTCGCAGATATTAAAGGATACAGCATGTTATCTGTTCGTGTATGCGTGCACGTGCTTTTGAACCGCCCCACAGTGTTCCCACGCGTCAGTATGCACACGCGTCCGCGTCCACTAATGGACCTTGACCGTATTTGTGTGAAATCTTTCCACACAAAAGAACGCACCAAGCCTACTGCGTAACATGTGCCAAAGCACTGCACATGTCGCAATATGGAGTTTGAGGGCCTGTGTAACCATCGTTGGATCGTAGTGACATTGATATCTACGTCCGCTGATCGTTAAACGCTAGTCCGCGCTATTTGTTGTCGGTCTGAGAGCGCAAACAATGTCTTTGTTGCTGTATGTAACTGACTTTCCGTAAATAGCACACTAGATTTTGAATCCACTCTGTGCATTAAACAATTCGGGACCGGTTAATATGCACATGGAAGCATTATGGCTCAAAGGGAAGACCTGAGAATTAACGCAGAAGAAAAAGAGTAATCTGTCACGTTTGCTGAAAAGTAACAGCCAAAAAAAGTGTTAGCAAGGCACGAATTAGAAACATCCAACAGCATAAGCACTTGAAGAGAGAAGATAATGAAAGAAGAGACCCACAGCGAAGGGGTGGAAAACACACGACAGTCAATGAAGCTACACTGAGCTGGTTCAAAAAA